TATATGTTTGTTTGTTTTGTTTGTTTGTTTGTTTGTTTTTGAGATGGAATCTTGCTCTGTCACCCAGGTTGGAGTGCAGTGGCACGATCTTGGCTCACTGCAACCTCCGCCTCCCGGATTCAAGCAATTCTCCTGCCTCAGCCTCTCAAGTAGCTGGGATTACAGGCTCCCGCCGCTATGCCCAGCTAATTGTTGTATTTTTAGTAGAGATGAGGTTTCACTATGTTGGCTAGGCTGGTCTTGAACTCCTGACTTCAGGTGAGACGCCTGCCTCAGCCCCCCAAAGTGCCGGGATTACAGGCGTGAGCCACCGCACCCAGCCCTGTGTTTTGTTTCTTAATTAAACCATTTTTCTATCTCTCTAGGAATATCTGAAATGACATTAGTGATGTTTTAGAGAGTCACGTTGGCTTTCCAAGATGATTCTTTATATGGCAATTTTTGTATTGTAGGAAGTCTTGAAAGAAAATCAGGCTGTCAGAAGGAACTTGGTCAGGCACTGACTCTAACACTGTTTTAGAGTCCAAAGAAAATACTCTGCCCTGGTGGAATAGCAGCCTCTGTTAGTTACTAAAGCTCCGGAAGATCCGAGCTTGGAAATGGACTGAGATACCCTACATGGGATATGCATGAGTGACTTTTTCCTGAGGCTGAGCTATTAGGTCTGGGGTCTTTCACTCATGTCCCCAAGAACTTTTCAAGGGCCATCCTTTGGTCATTTTGCCATCGTCTATTAACTTTTTTTTTTTTTGAGACAGGGTCTCATTCTGTCACCCAGGCTGAAGTGTAGCAGTACATTCACAACTCACTGCAGCCTCAACCTCCTGGGCTCAAGCAATCCTCTCCCCACTTGAGTAGCTGGCACTAGAGGCATGCGCCACCACTCCCAGCTAATTTTTTTTTTTTTTTTTTTTTTTTTTTGTAGAGACTGGGTCCCACTATTTTTCCCAGCTTGTCTCAGACTCCTGGGCTCAAGCAATTCTCCAACCTCGACCTCCCAAAGTGCTGGGATTATAGGCATGAGCCACCACACCTGGTCTTGTGCATAAATCTTCAACCAGAAACCTTAAACTAGGAAGAAGAGATACATGATCCTCAAATTAGCCAAGTCACGCTTACTTGTTCTCTCAGTTTGTTTAGAGAAAGCTCTTGACCCTCGATTGACAGAAACACCTGGGCAGATTTTCCTCTACATTTCTGATTTATTTGCCATGTCTTTTCTTTTTCCCGTTCTGAGTAACCTGGGGGGATTGTTTGTGTGGTGCAGTTGTTCCTACAGAATTCAAAAAGGAAAGTATGCAACAGAAGACAGATATATCCTAAAGATATGAGGTGCCATTGGCTTCTGTTAGTCATCCTGTTGTTGTTTTTTTTGTTTGTTTGTTTGTTTTGTTTTGTTTTGAGACAGAGTCTTGCTCTGTCACCCAGGCTGGAGTGCAGTGGCATGATCTCGGCTCACTGCAAGCTCTGCCTCCTGGATTCATGCCATTCTCCTGCCTCAGCCTCCCAAGTAGCTGGGACCACAGGCACCCGCCACCTCGCCTGGCTAATTTTTTGTAGAGACTGAGTTTCACCGTGTTAGCCAGGATGGTCTTGATCTCCTGACCTCGTGATCCACCCGCCTCGGGCTCCCAAAGTGCTGGGATTACAGGTGTGAGCCACCACGCCTGGCTTATCTTGTTTTTTAACTCACATTTTCATTCACATTTATGGAGTGCTATTATTATGTGCTTACATGGCTGGATCGACACTAGGTGGGGGTACATGAGGTGACTAATAGACTCGGTGGCAAGGAATGTAAGCTGGAAGAGAGATCCTGAAGCAAGCAACTCTGTAGGTTCTGGGGAGTTCGTTTCAGATATGGTGGAAACAGAAGACAGTAACTAATTCTCTCTGCTAGGAGAACCAGCAAAGGTCTCCCAGAGGAACGGAGCCCCTCTCTGGTTCTATCTTTAATGATTAACATGTAGAGACTAGCCCGACCAACATGGTGAAACCTCATAAATACAAAAATTAGCCAGCCATGGTAGCAGGCTCCTGTAATCCCAGCTACTCTAGAGGCTGGGGCAGGGGAATCACTTGAACCTGGGAGACAGAGGTTGCAGTGAGCCGAGATCGTGCCATTGCACTGTAGCCTGGGCGACAGAGCAAAAACTCCGTCTCAAAAAAAGAAAAAGAAACAAAAAGTAAGACCCAAGAATCAAGAGAAAGATACATCCAGTTATTGTGGTCATAGAGGGGAGGAGAGTTATTCTTTCAAATAATTTAAAAACAATTTGCCTTTTTAAAAATATAGTTTCCTTTTCCTAGTTTTCTGTTTTCTTTTTTTTGTTTGTTTTTTGTTTTTTGTTTTCTGAGACGGAGTCTTCCTCTGTTCCTCAGGCTGGAGTGCAGTGGGGCCATCTCGGCTCACTGCAAGCTCCGCCTCCCGGGTTCAAGCAATTCTCCTGCCTCAGCCTCCCCAGTAGCTACGATTACAGGCACCCACCACCATGCCCAGCTAATTTTTGTATTTTAGTAGAGACGGTTTCACCATGTTGGCCAGGCTGGTCTCAAACTCCTGACCTCAGGTGATCCACCCGCCTGGGCCTCCCAAAGTGTGGGGAATACAGGCATGAGCCACCGCGCCCGACCTCCATTTTCTGGTTTTCTAGCTTTACCTCCCCCTTCTCTCCCTACAGGCTTCGGAGTCAGCTTTCCTGCCCCACAGAGGTGACAAAGCTTTTCCAATAATGCATTCAAGCTGGTTTTAGGGACACTGATAAGTTCTGCCAAAAATGAACACAGTCGCAGATGGCACCCTCAAAAGATCAATACCAGGCCTGCAGGGTTGCTCACGCCTGTAATCCCAGCGCTTAAGGGAGGCCAAAGTGGGAGGATCGCTTGAGCCCAGGAGTTCGAGACCAAGTCTGGGCAATATAGTGAGACCTTGTCTCTACGAAAAATTAGCCAAGCGTGGTGGTGCCTGCCTGTAGTCCTAGCTACTCAGGAGGCTGTTGTGGAAGGATGGCTTGAGCCCAGGATGTGGAGGCTGCAGGAAGCAGAGATGGTGCCTCTGCACTCCAGCCTGGGCAACAAAGCAAGACCCTGTGAAGTGCAATACCTAATTTCCAAGAGAAATATTAACGACTTTGCCCTCTTCTTCATTCCCCCAGATCTCTGCCCGAGACGGGTCTGGAACCTGACTCCCGGGTGTCCATGACCCCGGTGGCTGCTCGCCGTCCGCAATGAAAGGGCTATCGGGCAGCCGCAGCCATCACCACGGGGTCACCTGCGACTCGGCCTGTGACTCGCTGTCGCACCACTCGGACCGCAAGCCCTACCTGCTGAGCCCGGTGGAGCACCACCCCGCGGACCACCCGTACTACACCCAGCGGAACTCCTTCCAAGCTGAGTGCGTGGGCCCCTTCAGCGACCCGCTGGCCAGCAGCACCTTCCCCCGCAGGCACTACACCTCGCAGCAGGAGCTGAAGGACGAGTGCGCCCTGGTGCCCCGCACCCTGGCCACCAAGGCGAACCGCATCCCCGCCAACCTGCTGGACCAGTTCGAGCGGCAGCTGCCGCTCAGCCGCGATGGCTATCACACTCTGCAGTACAAGCGCACGGCTGTGGAGCACCGCAGCGACAGCCCCGGCCGCATCCGCCACCTGGTGCACTCGGTCCAGAAGCTCTTCACCAAGTCGCACTCCCTGGAGGGGCCGTCCAAGGGCAGCGTCAACGGGGGCAAGGCCAGCCCCGACGAGGCGCAGGCGGCGCGCTATGGCAAGCGCAGCAAGAGCAAGGAGCGGCGCGCGGAGCCCAAAGCCCGGCCCAGCACCTCCCCGGGTTGGTGGAGCTCGGACGACAACCTGGATGGTGACATGTGCATCTACCACACCCCCTCGGGCGTGATGACCATGGGCAGGTGCCCCGACCGCTCGGCCTCACAGTACTTCATGGAGGCCTACAACACCATCAGCGAGCAGGCGGTGAAGGCCTCCCGGAGCAACAACGACGTCAAGTGCTCCACCTGCGCCAACCTGCCGGTCACCCTGGACACCCCGCTGCTGAAGAAGAGCGCCTGGTCCTCCACGCTCACCGTGAGCCGGGCCCGGGAGGTTTACCAGAAGGCCTCGGTGAACATGGACCAGGCCATGGTGAAGTCCGAGTCGTGTCAGCAAGAACGCTCCTGCCAGTACTTGCAGGTACCATTTCTGTCTATGATGGAGGCTTAGAAGTAGTACCTGGCATGCTTGTGTGGGCATTTCTCCTGGTTCTAGTCTTGGCACTACTCTGAATTTTCTATTAAGATATGAACCTGTGCAAATTATTTGGCATCTCTGTGCCGAATTGCTCATGTGGGGAAAATGCAAAGAACCCAGTGTTACCGACCTCATCGGGTTATCTTAAGATACTATATATCCAAGTGCTTTGAAAAGCACGCCTATGGAAAGGCAACGAGTTATTATGGCGTTCCTCTTCTGTGTGAGGGATCATAGGATGGGAAAGAGAGGAAAGGGAAGTCTACAGAGAATTTTAAAATAAGTCCACCTTTCTCTAATTCAAAAGTCAACGATGATCTTTTGAATTATGGAAAGAGTTTCCTTAAATCTAGTCAGGGTTGTGGGGTGGTTTTCATTGTGAAATCCTGCCTGAAGCTATGTTAGAACACTGCGATGGTCATCACCAGCACCATCAGTAACTACACCCCACCTAAGCTTCCACCCCAAGGGCACAGCAAATCAGGAAGACACCCTGTGCCCTGAGGAGGTGGGGAGCTAGCCAGTTTGGGGACCTGACAAACACAGCTGCAGAGACCCAGGACAACAGAGAGGAGGAGGAAAAGGAGGAAGGATCAGAGAAGTAAAATACAGTTAGTGTCAGGGTGTAAATCCCACACACCTACAGAGCCACGGCAGGCTGCTCTTCCCTGCCACAGTCTCCTTATGTTTTCCTCCAGTGCACTGAAACCAGATGTTACCCGGATAAAAATATAGGAGAGAGGTCTTCTTCTTCCCTACCTCCTTGCTGTAGTATTGTAATTTTTCCCAAGACACATTTTTCCATAAGGAGGACTCTCATCTTTTCCTTTTTCGAAGTGTCTTTTCTTCTCTGTTCTCTCCTGGTAGCCTCATCTTAAAAAAAAAAAATTACTGAGCTATAAAAGTATAACATACCCACTCCCATTTTACACTCCCACCTTAAGAAGAAATACAAAGAAAAATTTTTCCTTCGAGGAGTTCATCTTTTTTGCTCCCTTTCAACTCCTGGCAAATCTGGCTCCCTTGGGAATGCCTCCACCAATCCCTGAGAAGACCCCAAGCTGGCAATCCCTGGACAAGGGCAGTGCCAGAGCCTGTTCTTGGAGTTCAGAAGAAGCAGCAGCACATGGACAGTTTTCACACACAACACACAATAACGTGGTCCGTGTTTCCCACTGAAGGTCGTGTTGCCTAATTTCCCGTAAGGTTGCTACATGTTAATAAGTTATCAAGAACTATAACAATTTCTGAGCTCAAAGAATCATTTAATCCACTTAGCAGATGAAGAAGTAGACACCAAGAAAGGTAAATACTTAGTGAGTTAAACCGTTAGCATGTGGCAGAGGTGGGACCAGAACCCAGTCTCTTAACTTGGAGAAATGGCCATTATGAAGGTTGCAACTGAAAGCTCTAGAAACTCTTTAAGAACGTAAAGCTCACCCACCACTGAAAGTAAAGTATTTCGGTAAGGATATCTGTCTTGAAAAAAGTAAGGAGTAAAGAGATAAAAACCCTAGAGTACCACACATTTTGTCTGCAAAAATTCTATGACCAATGGCAAAAACAAAACAAATTGAAAGAACAAAAAAAAAAAAAAAAAACACCTGTACTTAAGTAAGTAATGATGAGATTAGATGAGAAGTATCAGAGTAAAGGATGCTGTGTATGGATCTAGCATAAGTCTTCATTAGTAATGAAATGTTTTCATTATATTTGCCTGTATGCCTACATTCTTCCTACCTTAGGTTCATTTTTCTTTCTTTTTTATACCTTTTTGGAGTCACAATCTCAGGTAGTGGTAAAACGTGGAAGGATAAGGAAAGAAAGAAGGAAAGTGATATTAATTGAAAATCTACTATGTATCAGATGCTATAGCAAATGTGTTCACATTTCGTATTTCATTTAGTCCTTGTAATAATCCTGAGATTACTGAATGTAATAATACTGTATTTTTATGAGAGAAGAAACTGACACTTAGAAATATCAAGTGATTTAAAGTCCCACGTTCTGGAGGTTGTACAACTGAGATTTAGACTCAGGTCTGTTTGATGACAAAGCCAAACTCTTTCTAATATGCCCTAGCACAGACCTGAAATCAAAGGCATGAAAAATGGTGAGCAAGAAGAAAATAAAATCTTTAAAATAAGCATATTATTATTAAAGTTTTTCAGTAAAATCAGAATGAAATCTTAAAGGCTTAAGTATGGGATTTAGTATAGTAGCATTATTGGATCTCCTTCTAAAAGATTTGAGAATTCTATTTTCAAATTATTTGCCTTCTTTAAGCCATTTTTTTAATGAAACATTTGAGGCTTACAGAAAGATATAAAGAAAAAACAAATAAAACACCCATTTATACATTACCCGTCATACAGAACTAAAACATTCATTACAATGGATCACATACATACTCGTATTAATCCCTTTTACCTCCCTTCTTCCCCAGAGTAATAGCTAATCTGTCTTTGACACCAAAGCACCTTTGTTTTTAATTCTGAAATTACTGAAACGTTGAAAATAGTTTAACATATTCTGTCCTACATTGGGCAATAATTAACCAAGCTAGTTCAACCTTTTAAATATAAACTAAACTCCAAGATAATCCTTATTAATAGATGTTGAATTTATTAAATTTCTATTTTATGCAAGGCTTTTAAACTAGGGGGAAAAAATCTATATTTCAATGTGGGGAGGTAGTATGTTAGTAAATGAATTAAATGTAAACCAGTGTACACCTCCCAAACCATGTGCTGAGGCTGAAGAGATGCTGTAAAGAAAGGGAAGAGAGAGCCATACATTCATATGGGATCAGAGGAGAATAGAAAATACCTCCTGAGAAATGGGCTGCTGCTCCCTTCTTGCTTCTAGGAAATGAAAAGAGGATCTGCCATCCCGTGCAAGGTCTGCTGAGGAAGATGGGGTTAGCCCCCGCGCCAGCCGTTCCAAGGGAACACTTTCATCTATAGGCTCATTCTTAGAAGTAAATTTGGGAAAACAGAGAGGGAAAGAGTTTCTTTGGAGTTCTTTTTTTTTCTTTTCTTTTTCAGTTCTATTGCCTTAATTGCCAACTAATATTGAAGCTGGATTTATAAATGGATTTAACTTCAGTATTAGAGATTTAGTAGGCAAAGCACTATTCTACTAGTTCCAAGAGCATTCTAGTCCTTATTTGCCGCTAACTAGTAACATGACCTGGAAACATTCTTTCAGCTCTCTGGACTTCCTTCCTCTGCTAGAAAATGAGGCACTTCCTCCAAAAGATATATGATCTCAGTACGCATTTTCAAACTCTCAAATTACATGTGTCGGAGTACTAATTAGAACTATTGTCAAGAGCTGGAAGTCCCGGGACTCTCATTTCAGAGATGCCTACTATATGTTTTTCAGATGTTATCTAATTTGCTCTTTAAAATTCTAGAGATATTTCACAGTCGAAGAACCTAAGTTTTTGTAAATTAGGTTAAGTAACTTGCCCAAGGACACACAGCTAGTATGTGGCAACATGCTGGGTCAAAACTGATTTCTCTGCCGTCAAAGTCTGTGTTCATTTACTACACCCAATCTCTACCTCCTCCAAATACAAAGCAGAGGAAGGAAGCAGTGTATATCAAATATCTATTATGTGCCAGAAACTGGGTATATCTCATTAAGTACTCAAAACAACTTTGTAGAGTATTATTTACTTTAGTTTTATAGACAACAAAACAGGCACAAATGCTGAACTCATTTGCCCAGGAACACATAAACAGTAAGTGGGGAGCTAGCACTTGATCCCAAATCTGTCCAACTCCATAATATGCTTCAGTAATGGAAATGAGTGCATATTTTTTCTTCTATTACCTGATTTGTTTTGTGGTAAATGTATGTGTGCATCTGACCTCATATGCGTGTGAGAAGTTAACAGGGCGCGGATGTGAAATCAGACTAACAATGAAACAACTGATTATGTCCCTAATTTAATTCAAGACTAACAAAGATGAAATTAATAATCACCAATAATAAAGTCTAAATACTAGCAAACCTCTGCTTCTCTCTTTGCAGAATTATCACTTAGAATTAGCTTAATGTAGGTCATTGCCATGATTCTATAGAAAATGAGAAGTCCATAGGTATTTAGCCTCTGCCTGACATTGACTTAGGAATCAAATACTGTAGCTTGAAATCACTGCAAGTCCCAGTTAATACGGTCAATTATATTAGGAGTGATATGTGCTCACTGACAAGCTGTCTGTAGTTAATAAAAAAGGGACTCCTTTTTTTCCAATATTGTTATTTTTAAATGTCAAGAATCAGATGTCTGCTGTTTAGAACTATTGTACCGCTGCCAGTGACTGTCTGTATTAGGGTTGGGAGCAGGAACATGGATTTGAAGACATTAAAACTGTTTAATTCTCAGTTGAGATGTGGTTGGCTCTTATACATTTGGAATAAAGCATTTATGGCACATCTCAGGGTAAGTGCTTAATAGTTAAATAAATAAAATAGGAAGAGGTTCAGAGATAGAATAAAAGGTAGTTTTTGTTGTTGTTTTGTTTTTGCTTTTAAAAAGCAGAAATCTTGGTTCCGTTTATGCCTCTTTATGTAAATGTTGTATGTCGAGTGACTGACATGTAAAGCCATTCAGAAGAGCAAGATTTTAGATTTCCAACTGTTAACCTAAAAGAAAAAGCCCTTCAAACCGTGTATTTTGCATTCATTCAGCCGTAGAAACAGGAAAAGGGAAACAAAACGCTCTCTCCCCGGTAGAAGTGGAGAGAGAGAGACAGAGGGAGCGAGAGAGAGAGCAAGACAGACCGAGAAGGAAAGCACTCCCAGAGATGAAATTTTAGGAAAGCAAAATGATCGACCTTTTTAAGGCTGAGTGGGTTTCTTCAGTTTGTGTGCAAGTTTCAAGAAATGGAAGGACTGACCAGGTTTGGGTATAACTCTTTTATTACTTTGTATTTGATAATAGAGTGTTGTTGATTTGGATGGTTTTTGTGGTAGGGAGAGGAAGGGGTAGTATCTGTGATTTTATTTCTCCTCTAAATAATGGCTAGTGAGACTGAAAGAGCTGACAAACTAATGTATGTACAGATAGTAAAAAAGCAGGTGGAGACATCAGATACCTACAAATCTGTGTCTCCACCAGGGCTTTATAAAATCTTTAAATGACACATGATCTCCTTAGATCTGCTAGGTGCTGTTAGCGGATGTTATATGGCTGGTGATTGAAATATGATCGGTTGTTTTCCAGCGCCAGGATTCTGAATACTTACTGCTCCTTTGCAAAATTAACATTTGTGATGATTGCTCTTTTGGGGGGTGGGGGTCTGCTTAAATAAGGCACCACACAAGATCACTGAGGAAGCGTTCATAAGCATGATTCCAGGATCTTTTAAATACAGGTAAAATTATTTTTTCAATAATCTGTTCAAGATTATTTCCATCTTTGCCCAGTGGGAGCTTTCTTTCCCTGGCTGAGTTTTTCCTCCCTCTTGTGTTAGAACAATTTTAAGTCTCCCAATTCAGTTAAAACTACTTTACATGCAATTTGTGAAAGTGCTGAACGGTTCTGCTACTGACTTTGGCTGCTGGGATGTTTCTTTGCTGCGTTTTTCTGAAATCCCATCCATCACATCCATTGATGATTTTCTTTATTTTTAATTTAAATTGCCTTAATAATCCAGCAAGTGAATGTCAAGGTTCCTGAATGGATTTCCTATTGGGTTTGTACAGTCTGGCTGTTTTTCACTGATCTTGTAGAGATGTCCTCTTCATTCATAGAAAGATGAGATTGCTCCAGCCGGTGCTAACTTTGAATGTGGAATCAGTGATCAGCAGCAGAATCCTGTTAATTCTCCTCTCTCTCTCTCTCTCTTTCTGATTCTCCAT